AACAATTCCAGGAACCCGGGTCAGAAACACCCCAAAATAAACAGAAATAATTCCAGGAACTCAGGTCAGATACACCCCAAAATAAACAGAAATAATTCCAGGAACATGGGTCAGAAACACCTCAAAAAATGGGAAACAGTTCTTTGAACCCGGGTCAGAAACACCCCAAAATAAACAGAAATAATTCCTTGAACACGGGTCAGAAACACCCCAAAGTAAACAGAAATAATTCCTTGAACCCAGGTCAGAAACACCCCAAAATAAAAGGAAATAACTCCTTGAACCCGGGTCAGAAACACCCCAAAAAAACCAGAAATAATTCCAGGAACCCGGGTCAGATACACCCCAAAAATGGGAAACAATTCCAGGAACCCGGGTCAGAAACACCCCAAAATAAACAGAAATAATTCCAGGAACTCAGGTCAGATACACCCCAAAATAAACAGAAATAATTCCAGGAACATGGGTCAGAAACACCTCAAAAAATGGGAAACAGTTCTTTGAACCCGGGTCAGAAACACCCCAAAATAAACAGAAATAATTCCTTGAACACGGGTCAGAAACACCCCAAAAAATGGGAAACAATTCCAGGAACCCGGGTCAGAAACACCCCAAAATAAACAGAAATAATTCCAGGAACATGGGTCAGAAACACCCCAAAATAAACAGAAATAATTCCAAGAACTCGGGTCAGAAACACCCCAAAAAATGGGAAACAATTCCAGGAACCTGGGTCAGAAACACCCCAAAATAAACAGAAATAATTCCAGGAACCCTCCCCAAAGCTGAGGGATTTGGGGAGGAAAAAGGGAAAAAGGAGAGGGGGAAATAAAGGGGAGGACACTGAAAAGGTGTTGGGGGAAAAGGGTGAAGTGAAATGGAATAAATGAAATAAATGAAGTGAAATGAAATGAAATGGAATGGAATTAAATGAAATTAAAAAAATAAAATAAAGAAAAATAAAGTAAAATAAAATAAAATAAGAGAAAAATAAAATAAAAGAAATTAAAAAAATAAAGAAAAATAAAGTAAAATAAAATAGAGAATAAAATAAAATAAAATAAAATAAAATAAAATAAAATAAAATAAATAAACTAAAATAAAGTAAAACAAAACAAAATAAAATAAAATAAAATAAAATAAAATTAAATTAAATTAAATTAAATTAAAATGAGGTAAAAATCCCCTCCCAAAAACACACAAGGAAAAAAACAAGAAAAGCACCAAAAGAATCCCAAAGAAAGTCCCAAAAAAAGCTCCCAAAAACCCCCACCAAGAGCCCTCAGAAAAGCTGAAATAAAACCTCATAAAAAACAAAAATAATCCCTCAAAGAAACAGGAAAAAAGAATAAAAAAACCCCAAAAAACCATCAAAAAAATCCCCAAAAACTCCACAAAAAAATAACAAAAAAACCCCAAAAAACAAAAAAAATAAACCCCAAAACTCCCCAAGAAACCAAAAAATTCCTCCTAAAAATCCCCCCAGAAAGAGCCCTCAAAATACATAAAATAAACCCCCAAAAAGCAAAAAATAACCCCAAAATCCCAAATAACAACAAAAAAAAAACCCAAATCCCAAAGAAAGAAAGAAAAAAAATCGTCCTAAAAATGACCCCAAAAAACACAAAATAAATCCCCATAAAAACAACAAAAATAAAATTAAAACCTCAAAAAAAAAACCCCCAAAAAATCCCAAAATCTGAGAGGAAAGTTGGAAAACCCCAAATCCTCATCCCAAAAAATCTGGGGTGGGAGAACAACCCCAAATCCTCATCCCAAATATTTTGGGGTGGGATAAGAACCCCAAAACTTCATCCCAAATATTTTTGGGGGTGGGAGGACAATCCCAGAACTTCATCCCAAATATTTTGGGGGGTCAGAAAACCCCAAATCCTCATCCCAAATATTTTGGGGAGTCAGAAAACCCCAAATCCTCATCCCAATATTTTGGGGGGTCAGAAAACCCCAAATCCTTCCCTTAAAAACCCCCAGAGGGGAGCCCCAAGCCCCCCCCAAATCCCATTTTGGGCTGGGGAGGGGTTTGAGGGTCCCTAAAGGGGGTGGGGGGGAGGTTTTGGGGTCCCCCCCAGACCCCACTTACCTTGGGGGGTGGGGGGGTTCAGCGGGAGGCAG